ATTCACTTTTTCATCATACTAATTTTTGGTATTTTATATATTATTATACAAAATTCTAAATAAAAACTAGAATAAATAGAAATACAAATAAAATACATATTGAAATGAATACATACAAGATTTTTGATGAAAAATTAACTATATAGGGAAAAAAATATATGAAAATACAAATATATTTCTTAAATGACTATATAGATAAATTCGGCATACCTATTGGAATGAATACAAACTAATAAAAAACAATAATAAATATAAATAGAATATATTGTGAAATGAATATAATTTTAAAAAGGTAAAAATTCTGGAGAAAAAAAAAGAATAAAATTTAGATTTTAATTGAAAATGTAACTGATGAGAAAATTAAGGATCCTTACTTTTTTGAAATATTCTCTCCCTTGATTTTCTCCCTTTTGTTATTAAGTAATTATATTCTTTAACTAAAAACAAATAATAAAAACATAAATAAGATACATAACAAACTAAAATTTGACACTTTTACTAAATATTGAAAGTGTTGCTAATGAGTCCTCTTAAATGCTAAAATATTGACATTTTGAAAAATTTCCCGTTTGGTTTTGCACCAGCTTAAAAACTACAATTGAAATCAAGTAGAAGACCATGCATAATGTTTTTTAATCAACAATAGTGTCACGTCCTAAGCCTACACCCTGAACGTGGCCGACACCCAATGAACATTGCTGGACTTGGACGGACCCTTGTCATGACTTACTTAACTCTGCGGAAGACTTAACTCAATGCAAGAAACATTCTCATAAAAATAACTTGAAATAAGTATCTTGGCCAAAATGACACTTAAATCTCATAGTAAAAAATTTGCAATACAAAGAAGAGACTCAAACTAAACTATCTAAAGCCTCTATAATACTAAGATAAATGTTGGGGCAGACCCCACAACAAAATTTCTAAAACATACTTTGACAATAAACTTTCCATCTTTCTGAAACTTCCACCAAAGTGAGTAAGCAAAAGCAACCTGATCATTGAGAGAGATAGCCTCCAATTTCAGCAGCAATTCATTTACATTTCAAATTCCCAGATAAATAGGTCGTTCACAGGACCAGTGAACTTTACTTTGACAATATTACTATTGTATGAATATGTCAATTCCCAATAAGCATCCATCACTCTTGGCTCATATATAAATTTCCAAAAGTATGTTCTTAAATAATTTGAAAATGATGTTGACCATTCATCAATGTTTATATCCTATCAGATTTTAACAAGTTCTATTTCAATTTCAGGAAAACCAAAATAATTCATACTATATGGTTCAGGACAGAAGGACGTAGTTGATCATGTCAGCTCTGGTGTTCCATTTATGGATGAAGACATGATGTAGCAATTTTTAAGTTAAAGACAGTCATCATCTATTAAAAAAAAATATATAGAAACTGATAATACTTGAAGACAACGATAAAAAGACTACCTGAAGATAACTAAATAGCATTTAAAGTGATATTAACAGACTTATAATGTGTACACACAAGGAAACTCACTTCTACTTTTTAGGAAAATCAATATGGTCACCATTTCTTCCCATATTAAGAAACATCTGATTTCTAAGAAAACGAAGTCTGAAAAAAACTCAAAATATTTAATTACCTCCTCAATAGGCCTGCCTAAAAATCTCAAGCAGCATCTTAAGTGCAATCAATCAGCTTCTGCAATTGCATAGTATGCCATTTCTTTAGCATGGATAAAAGGGTAATTGTATCACAGTGATAGCACAGCCGAATAAACCAAGTGAAAGAAATACTCACTTCTTATTTTTCAAGTGAAGCTCGGGTATCATGTCAAGGACTAAAGGTTTATCCCCTATAATGTTTATCAATAACTTAGTTGTAGATGCATCAAATGAGAAGCCCTCTTCCGGTCATTTCCTTCATGAAAATTGTCATTTCACTAATTCTGCTGCACCTGAGGAATCCTTGCACCATAACATTGTAGGTGAAATTGTTTGGATAACAATTGTTGCCCACCATTTTCATAAGCATATATTTAGCTTCATCTAATAATCCTTGTAAACAAAATCCAGTTATCATTACAGTGTATGTTTTCACATTCGGAAGCAATCCCATTGAAGAAAGCTTCTCAAAAAGAGCATGAGCTTCGTCAAGTTTACCATTTTTGCACAATCCATTAATGACAACATTGTAAAATCCAATATCAGTATTTTCTCCCTTTTTTTCCAACTTATTAAAGAGTGAAATCGCTTCTTCAACAAGTCCATACTTAAAATAACCATTGAGCAAAATGCCATGAGTGTACAAATTAGGAATACACCCTGCAGATAGCATCTCAGCATAGATACTTTTAGCAGATCCAATTCTTCCGACACCAAGCAGACCTTGCAAGATAGTATTGTAGGTGGAAGTACTAGGCTTTGGTCCCTTTTGAGAAATTTCACAAAATAATTGCATGGCCTCAGGCAATTTCTTTTTCTTACAGTACCCATTTATTAGTATGTTGTAGCTAATAATGTTAGGCTCAATGCACCTATTTATCATGAAATCAAAAAGTCTCCTCGCTTCATCAAGTTGACCAGTCAAACAATATCCATCCATTATTGAATTGTAGGTGAATACGTTAGGCTCTACACCTTTTTCGATCATGTATCCCATTACTTCCATGGCAGCTTCGACTTTTCCTTCTTTGCAGAGTCCATCTGTTAGTATGGTGAAGGTTTGAACATTTGGATAAATATTAAGGTTTACCATCTCAGAGAAGAAAGTCTTACACTTTTCCCATTCACCAAGCTTACACATACCATCAATTATTGAGTTATATGTAACTATGTCTGGAGGAATATCTTTCTGCTTCATCTCATTCATAAGATTGATAGCAACATCTAAGTTCCCATCTTTGCAAAGGGCATCTATAATGATGCTGTAGTTATTTATGTTGGGTTTAGTGTTGTTCCCTTGTTCCATTAACCGGAGCAAACTTAAAGTCTTCTCTGTATAACCCCTTTTACAAAGCCCATTCATGACGGTTGCATACATGACGGTGTCGGGCTCACAAATCTTCTCCCTCACCACCTTTTTGAACAATTCAACAGCATCTTTCACCTTATTTTCAGCAAAGATTCCCCTTAATAGGGTGGTAAAGGTGACAACAGTAAACGGAATACCATTCTTGAGGTAAATGGGTAACACCGAAAATGCACAATCAACACAATGCATCAAGCAATAACTATTAATGACAATATTTAAGATGAATACATTGTTTGGGATACCCAATTTCTGCATTTCTCCAAAAAGAGAAACAACAGCAGAATAATGCTTCATATTTATCATAGTCTTAAATAATTTAGAAAATTCAACAACTGATGGAAGAGGCTTCATTGTAACCATTTGCTTAAAGAGAATCACAGCATCATCTAAACAGTTGATGTTAAACCCACAATCAAATTTAGAAATGGATTTATTACTAAAAATTCTCACTGAAATTGCCGTAAAACGAGAATGAGAATTAGGAGACAAAGAGAGAAAAGGAATACCATTGCGCACACAAAATCTCCTCATCTCCAATGCCAAACGATTATTTCTCACTCAATTGCTCAATAATTTTCAGCTCATGTTACCTAATTTCGCAGCATACTTGTGCGGCTCTTTGCAATGACCCGCCATATAACCAGTGTCATGTAAGTGGAGAAAATTAAATGAAAGATGTTAAATTAGTCTTTTTTTTTTGACAAATTGACTAATTGCTCCTCAATTCTCTTTAAAATGTAATTTAGTAAATTTGAGATCAAATTAATATTTCTAATCTTTTATAAAATATAAAAAAAGATATTTTATTTTTAAATTTCTATAATTCAAATCAAATCATTTTTTTAAAAAATAAAAAAATTATTTTCATCTTCTTCTCCCAACGTTTTCTTTTTTGTTCTTCTTCTTTTTCCTTAGAAATTCAAAATTTCGATTATCTCCATTATTTTCATCCTCATCTCCAGTTCTGACTCTTTTCTCTTTTTAAACTGAAATCGTGTTCGACTTAAAATGGATAAGTTATTTTTTTGAAAGATTTTATAATTTTTGAAATTTTATTTTTCTTGGATTAATGAACAATAAAACGTTCTATAGATGTAAAAATAGAATAATGATGTAATGGTGCCTATTATTTATTATTTTTGAAAGACAATCAACTGACCCAAAAAAAATCCTAATTTTGAAGAAATGTATATGCATTGTTAACTTTCAGTGAAAAGTCATTTTTTGTTGCTTTTGTCGTTCTTTTTGTGGTCATTTTGTTGATGTGATTTTAAAAATAAAGTCTTGTTCAGTTGTTCAACATATATTTCATTTGTTGAAAGATGTATATATGTTGCCACATTTTAGTGATATGTTGGTGCATATTCCAACAGAGTTATCACATGTTGTAACATCTCACTTATGCATTAGGGCAACAAAATGTTCATATGTGGCAACATAAGATTCATATGTGAAAACTTAGGATTCATATGTGGCAACAGAAAATTCATTTGTGGCAATAGTAAATACACCTATGTTAACATAGGATTCATCTGTGGCAACATAAGATTTATATGTGGCAACATAAATTTCATGTGTGCAACAGTAGGTACATGTGTGGCAACATAATGTTAATTCGTGGCTACATATTATCCATATGTGGCAACATAATGTTATTATTATTTTATAATGAATTATAAATTCTTAATCTTTTCTTATTTACCTTATAGATGAAATGATACAAAAATCTTCATTCATGACAACAACTCAATCTTTTATAGGTGTTGCTTTCTCTTCTAACATCAAATGCTCTTTTCGTCATCATGATTATTTTATTAGCCGTGTTAAAAAATTTAATGATATTTTAAAATAAATGTCTCATAATATTAACGTACAAAGATCCAAAAAGATTTCACACTCTTTCAAGTGTAGGAGGTTGAAAAAATCTATTTCTCAAACACTTACTATAATTAGTGAGAAGAAAGAGAAGGAGAAGAAGGCAAAGGAGGAGAAAGAGAAGAAGACAAATGAGGAGAATGAGAAGGATAAGAAGAAGGAGAAGCAGAAAGAGAAGCAGAAAGAGAAGCAAAAGAGAAGAAAGTCGAAATCGTTAATTGTGATGTGAAGCGATAATATCCATTTGAAGTATAACATTCCTAAAACGAACTAGGTGAAACTAGAGCCTAATGTGTGTGTCATGAGCTTATAAGGTCTTAAAAATGGTTAATTATAGTGTTATAAGGCGTGTGTTGGGTTTGGAAAAGCTTGGAAGTGAAACGTTCAAAACGTTCGAAAGTTAGCCTTGAGACGTTCTTGTGTGTTCTAGTGTGCCTTTGCGTGTTTTACGTGTTGGTTTGAGTTCAAATTGATGGGAGAGGTTCCTAACATCTAGACGAGCGTATTTAGGGTTGAAAATTCTGGGTACGACTCCCCAAGGACCACCCTAAGGGTCCTTGAGAGGATCCAACCTTTGTCTATAAACTGCCTAAAACAATCTCTAACCACGCTACCTAATCGACACCTCGATGACTCACCTAAGCTCCGTCGTTGGGGGGCGTCGCTCCACACTTAGGTGTGGGAGCTTAAGCCCCCAATTGAGCAGTCTCTAACCAAAACGACAGCTTGCTAGTATGGCCTGTCGTCTGATCGACACCTCGTAGGTGGGCTCATCGTTTGGCACCTGCAACTTCATGCAGGAGTTTCAGCCAAGTGAGTGGCTTAATGGGAAATTCACCTGGAATCCAAATAATGTATACTAAAAACTCTTCAGAAATGCTCAAGGGTGAATGTTAAGTTCTTTAATACAAGGGTTGAACATCTATCTTTCACTGAGCTGGTAGAAAATATATGGAAGAAGGAATATAGGACTGATCAAATGTACAGAGTGGTGTACAATTATTTGTAAAAGTTGCAATCCTTCATAAAGGTCACAATCTTTAATAAAAGTATCAACTTTTCATTAAAGTAGCAAATTTTCATAAAAGTCAAAATTTTACAATTTCACAACTTTTCATGAAAGAGGAAAGCTAGTTTTTGTAAATAAATAAATTAAAAGAGAATTCTGATTTGTGATGACGTCACGTAGACGGATTCATAAACATAAAAACTCATAAATGGTAAAACTATTAAAATTATCAACCCTAATTCAGGATTAATATGGTACTAAGACAACTTAAAATCAAATTTTTGAAAATATTGTATTGAAGGACTGCTGCAATCTCTCAAAATATATATGTATGGTGTTTTGAACTTCAAAGAGAAGGTTAAAAGATAGGGAAAATTGTATAAAATAGTAAACTAATAACCTAAATTAAATTGAATAGCTAGGGTTTGATTTAATTGTGCTCCATAGCAAACATTGACAAAAATTTGCCAGGCGTCTCTCTCCCAGAAGTCTCGCTCGCCACTCTCTCATTCTCGCCTCTCTCGCTTTATACACAGAAGTGTATAATTTCTATTTCTGTTTTGTATAAAGCGAGAGAAAATTGTATATACACATGCAAAAATGTATATCTTCGTGTTATACACTTAATTATATAATTTACAAACATTTTACTTCAAATATTGCAGAGAAAAAGGCCAAAGAATC